TGATAAATGTAATAAACAAATGACATATTCAAAAGAGAGAATCTATGTCCCATTAGGAGAGAAAAAGAAAGATGAGAGCAACATATGGCAGTATAATTAGCATGATTAGGGAAGCACATCAACAGAATTTATGCTGCAGGGAAAATGTAATAAGAAACCAACACACTTTCCTCACTGCCTTGAAAACTGCAAATATCGCTTTCTGAAAAGGAGAAGATGCAGAAAGGCTCTCTGGCATTTAAAGCTGTAACTTGTGTTCTTCTGTCGTTATTAAAGATGCACACAGCCATCTGCAAACCATTTATTTTTTGCAGAGTTCACATTGTCCCATTGCTTTGATTAATAAGGAGCAATATTACACCTCAGCTGCTTTTCAGAAAGATGCTATTTTGGAAACCTAATTAATACTCGCTCCACAGTTAGCTTGAGGTGTTCGTTAGTGCCAGATACTGAGTTCTTATTTGTTTCACATTATGTGGAGAGTATTGCTTCTCAATGCCAACGTTTTTGTTTTGTATTTTGGAATAACCTTTCAACACCCCCACTCTCCCTAGCCCTCCATTCAGGAGAGCTAATAACACCTGTCGTCATTATTTTAACATGCCCATTACGTCTGTCAAAGACAAAGTGGGTTATTTACATAGTTAGACTATCCTGATGCACAGCAAATATTCCTGCCATTTTCTGAACAGTTGGGCGAAAGCGAAAAGTGAAATTTAGAAACCTAGCAATGCGATTCAAATTTCAGCTTACCACTAAGGGTCAGTATAAACTAAGTAAAGGAGTTGTTACAGAACCGAAACAGAGTAAGTTTTGCCTAGCAGGAGTACCAAATATCTTTTATGCCCCAGAAATACCAGATCACTTTATAAATACAACCCCCTCCCCCCCCCCAAAAAAAAAAAAAAAAAAAAAAATCTACAGCAGAAATACCCTTGCTCTAGGCACTGAACTTGTACAAACTCCATCAGTCAGCTTTACTGTATCTGGCAGTCAGCAGCATGTCACCAAGTGGCCTGAGGCTTAGTAAAGAGTGCAAAAACATCTTGATATTTGCCCAAGGTGCTGCTGCTGAGGATGACCCTGCTGCCTTGCTGGGTAAAGGAGTGAACTCAACAAAGCAGGAGAGACATTTAGCATCCACTCAGCTGCCAAGTATAATACTCCCTGCGGAAAGGTCAAATGTAATTACACTTGTGAGGAACGAACAGAACAACTGAGACTTTTATTGCAACCCACCATTGTGCTGAGCAGCTAAGGAAGAAAATAAGGAGAATAAAAGAAGACCCGTGGACCTGAGCACCAATGTGGAGAATGGATGGAGAGCTTCAGGGACAGCATGCTTTAAATATGCCTTATGGTGTACCCTGAGAACTGGGGACAGAGAACATCTTAGCTGTTCTTCACAGGCCTGACCTACCCACAGGATTTTCATGCTGTGCAGAGGCTGGAGTTTTGGTGTATACAAGAGCTCATAGCGGATGGACACACATACATACACGAGGACGTAACCTCTGTAAAATCAATAACACAGATGGGGCCGGCTGTCCTAGTGCAGATTGCCACTCGTCACCTGCACTCTGTCTTCTAAAAACCTGCCAGTAGAAGGTACACTGTCCCCTTAGGCTCCACAGAAATAGGGTCCCTCATAAAAAGCTCATGTCTCAAACTGCGAGAGGAAGAAAAAAGAGGGGAAGCCTGCACTGAGCTGTGGCACTTGCCTGCGTGGTGCCAGCTGCCAGACACACAGAGGTAGCCCCGGAGCCTGCAGGACCCCATTAGGTCCCTCCCCAGCCACCAGCAGCACTGGACCTTGGCCAGTCACCTGCCAGTTTCCCTTGTGGAACAGAATAATCATGTTTTTAAAGAGCACAACCCACCACTGACCTTGTCTTTGGTACTGTGGTCAGTCAGAGAGAAGACAGACAGACTGCAAGCCCCTTCCTCAGGCAGCAGGGCCGCAGCACCATCATGTTACAGGTGCTTGTATGGCTTCAATAAAACCAGTGGGGCAAGAATTCATGGGAATTTTTTGATTATCGTAGTAGCTAAACAGAGCCTTTTCCAGTGTGCATTGGTGGGGACAATTAATTATGAGAAGATAGTGGGGTTTTCTTTGAAGATTTCAGCAGTGTTGATGGCAGTCCTAAGAGAACGTCAGTAATTCAGTGGTTAAATCGCCTGCAGGATGACAGGAGGTTTCCTGTACACTACACACCATACTTTCCCCTAAGAAAGTCTGCTGTCAGCCAAAACCTATGGCCATTCTTGAGCAAAATTCCTCTGACTTCAGTGGAAATTATGCTTTAGAAAGGACTTTTAAATGTTGGCTCTTACTTTGAATCTATTTAAGTATTATCTGGCTTTGCACCTGGAGAATAAACAACACATACCATCCTGTAAGTCAAGGCGTGGAATTTTTCCAACTAACTTATTAGCACAATGTCTCAATAAATCTCTCTTATGGGAAGGATCTGTCATGGAATAACAAGTATAACTTAAGAAAAAGAAACAAGGCTGTAAAATGCAGTAACAAAGTGCCTTTAAAATGCTATACATTAATGAGTTAGGGGATTCTGGGAAAAGCCTGAGACCAGTCCAAAGAGACAGTTTTCTTTCAAATCGTGCTGTAGTGTTCATTCTGCAAATAGCATTTCCTACAATATTTTGACAGCAAGAACAGGAAATGTAGAGCAGCATGGAAAGGTGGTAGATGTAAGAACATGATGGGCGGGAAAGGAAAAAAACAGAGTTGCCCGTTAAAAAAGAACTATGTTCATTACTTCTATTACTTGCCTTTTATTTATTTTTTTTCCCTTAAAAAAAAAATAATCTCTTTTTCCATCAGCCCATTCATGGAAGATGGACTAATACAATCTATCTCTAACAATCCTGTTCCCACCAAGCCTGCAAGTAGTCCCCAGCAGGAGGCAGGTATTTTGAGAGGAGGTGCCTTGAAAAGGAAATATGTCATCGCAATTTTCCTTTAGGGTGTTTTCATGGCGTGTCGTTTCAGACACTTGAAGTTCACTAACTTTTTATCTACTCTCTCAATCTGCTATTGATTCATTTACAGTAAAAGAGAAAGACAAAAATGAATGGATTTTTTGGTTTTATTCCATGCTTTTAGTGACATAATATGCCAGGCAACAATGATTGACTCACACCATTGCAGCAGTCAGTTAAGGAACAGAAACTAAACAGCTAGCAAAGGAAATAAAGAAATCTTTTGTGTATTTTATGGATGCAACAACATGCATTTCACTGCTGCTTACAAAAACCTCTCTTTGAAATGTTTCTACATTTATGTAATTCTACATAAATACTTTCACACATCACATAATTCTCGTTCCTTTACCTCTGTTGCTTTTAAATATTCAGGATTCTTGCCTTTTCTTCGGTCAACTCTTTCACCACAAGCATACAGAAATCACCATTCTGTGTCTGAGCAAGTGAAGTGTACACGTGTTTATAGTGACTATTAATTATTAGCATGTTGAAAGTTATACAAAAGGCTTGCTATGCTCTATCTGATCCATTGGTTTCAGTGTTTGGTCCTCCAGCAGTGCCACCAGCGAAAAAATGTCAAACCAAGTCATAATAACATAGAAACCTTCAGTCATTTTTGGGAAATGAACGAAGATCTCCATGTACAGGTTGCTTGAGACCCTATGTTGTTTTGAAACACAGAGTTTAAACAATATTGAAATTTCTATGGCATTTATAAGTAAACCACAAAAATGTTTGCTTCCCTAAAGAATTGAATCCCTACAGGAAAGCTGAGCAATTGCCCAGGTGTTCATTCATTTAGTAATTTTCCTCCCTCCCCTTGCCATGCTCTCTGTATCATTAGAAATGGACCAAAGCAGTTATCATTTTTGACTGCAGACAGCATTTTGCATTGTTACAAAGATCATCATAGTTCAGGCACGTGTCTATATAGCTCACCATGCTGTGAGACAGCCAGAGCTTTCATTTGCACCCAATGCATACAGAAACTCTCTATCTAGGGCCACTGATTTTAAAGGTCAGAGGCTGGGCCAAGCCCCAGAAAAGCCATAGTTCAGGAAGCAGACTGCTTTTCCTGATCCTCCTTTCTGACTTCCAGACATTTCTGTCATGAGGTTCGCTGACAAGTCACTGCAGTGCTTCAGCTCCGCTCCATGACAAGCACTTAGACGGACAATTGTTTTTTTTTTCTGCGTTCTGCTGTTTTACTCTTTCTTTATAGCCTGACTTATTGTATGCCTCACAAGTGGAAGATCAGACATTGTTTGATTATCGTTTTGAGTTTAAAATGTTGTACTGTTGTATAGAAAAATGTGCATCCTGTCTGTGTCCTTTAGATGAGGTTCCACCGGCAAATTGTGTCATGGTGGATCCATACTTAAATCTGAGTGACAAGTCTTGTTCCTTTTCCAAAAATGATCAGTTGGTTCCTGCAGTCAGACATGCTGCGTGCATAACCCCGGGTCAGGAAAGAGAGAAAGCAACAGGCTTTTAAGATGATAAAGCACAGCTGGAATAATTAGAGATGGGGGAGGTGATAAGACCTGGAGTTAGAGATGCATCCAAATTCTGGCGTGACTATCTGAGGCTCTTATCAGACCACAATGCTTCCTCCAGATTGGGGCTGTAAAACAGACTTGTTGTCCTCTCGTTTCTGCAGTAACAGCCCTGCAACACACTCAGATCTGGTTCAAACTAAATCTGCTGTTATTTATAAAGTATAATCTTCCTCCATTCCAACAGTGATCCTGAAATTGACTCTTTGTGGTGAATTCTGTACATACTTATCAGGTGTTTTGTGTTGCCTCTGAAATGTTGAGGTCCCAAAGTGCCTTGTGTTGGTATTGACTGTTCATATTTAGGCATGTTTTATTCCTTTGGCCCGTAAGTCCTAGATACTGCTTATTTGAAGCCTATGGGTACTAATAACCAAGAAAGTAATTTAATTCAAAAGCACTTTATTAGCTAGCAACACAATGCATCCATGCTGATTGGCATTTTACCACTGGGAGTACAGCCAGAGATTAACGAAGAGCCTGGTGCTCAGCAAAGGCAAAGCTGCAGCAAGGCTGGGACAAGAGCTCAGCTCTTCTCGATACTGCTCCAGTCTTAACTTTGGTCTGTTCAAATGTTTTATGAAGGGTCATTTCCCTCCTTCCTTGTTTGTGGCACAAAAAGCCCTCAGTCCTGCAGCCACTCCTGCACAACTGGAAAGACCTTTTAGTCCGGCCTGCGAGCCCGTACTGAACTGCAGTCACAGGAACTGTTTGCAATGTTTCTGCAGAAGATGGAGACAAAGAGGACAGATACAGGGGCATAGATGGAGGGCAAAAAAATGGCTCCCAAATACAAAGAAACACTTGTTAACAGACCCTGTTCTCAGCATGTCTTCATGGAAGAGCTCAGATTGCAAGTGAAATCATCAGGCAAGACAAAGACAGAAAGCTCTGTGTTTTTTCTTTTTTCTTTTTTTTTTTTTTTTCTATCTCAGCTCTTTAAGAAAGGCTGAAAGCAGTGGAATGTTAAACCAAGGGTAAGACTCTGTAGCAAACTTAGTTAATACAAAAGCACAGTTAACTTGTTTAAAAAACAGCTATTGATAAAAAGGAAATGATCTGTCAAGTGTGCCTTGAAGAAACATGGCTTTTCTTTTTCCACTTCATTTTATGTTTTCTCTTGAGCTCAGTTGGAGCCGTAGAGTTTGCATGGTCTGTGATGAAAATGCTGGTGTGAACCACAAACCCAAACTACCGGGCCTCAGACACACGCTCACACGCTACATTGCTGCAGCTTGCTGTGCTGCCATTATAGCTGTGACAACATGGCACTCAGACTGCCATTGCAGTCATAGTGACAGACTTCATTGGTCTGGAGAGGCGACTCCACTTTTTTTTTTTTTTTTTTTTTTTTTTTTTCTGCCTATGTTACTGCAGCTAACTATGATGTTACTGGCAAAAGCTGTCTAACTGAAGGGGTCATTCTATACGAACATTTCTCTGCAGGGTAGACAAACCCACTGTACAACACACAGTCTTGTCTAAATGAATGTATTATTTATTTTGTAGCTTTTAAATGGGTTTTATTTACAACAAGTCTTAGAACACAGCTCACACGCAGAAGTTAAGCTCTGGCAATACTGCCATCAGATCACTACCACGTTTGCAAATGACATTTCTACGTCATAGAAAATGAAAGAGTGACTTTAAAACAACCGTTTTATCTCCAGGTATAAGGCTCACAAAACGAATTTGCAAGTGGCTGTAAAGCCCAGTCAAGGCGTGCTCCCCAGCGCACCCTGCTCTGCGGGAACACAAGCGGTGGAGAACTGTGGGACGCACACGGGGTGTCGCAGCTCCGTCATCATGGTACCCGGCCCCCAGGCACCCTTGTACGGGTTAGTGGTCCCATTCCTCTTCTCTTTCACTGATTCCCTCTTCCTCTTCTGGAAATGCTGAATCACTCTGACTCTTCAGATGCTTTATCCCTGAAAATATAAAAGTCGTAGTTAAAAGTTGTGGTAGCTCACATTGGACATTTGTTTTCCTGAAGGAAGAAACAAAGAAATAAATAAACTAATAGAAATATTTTTAGTACTTGTACTGATCCCCTTTTCCTGCAAACATCAAAATTCAAACAGTACTGTAATGTATTTCCAACAGAAATATTCTCTTCCTTGAATATAAGATCTTTGGAAATTTATCATGCTTTGTTGGAAAGACCACTAACAGACACCTTGTAGAACAGAACAGTATTTGCTTCTTTTCTTTTCATTGTGATCCTTGAAGAGATTACTATTGCCAATCTCAAGTGACTTTTGAATTTTAAAGGCTCACAGAATAGGTGTGGGAATTATTCTACCAGAATTTCAGTCTGAGCCTTTCCCTGAGATTGATCTGCTGAAAGTCCTTGCTCACAGAGACCCAGGGCCTCATGGCCACAGCTTCCTATATGCAGCAGAATTCTCTGACGTGCTTCCCCACGATCTATAGACAAGAACTGTCCTGATGCAAAGTGAGCACCAAACCTGACAAAGATTCTCTGGAGCTGATGTGGTGACAAAATTGAATCATTTCTCACACCAGGAATGGAGAGCAGGACATAAATGAACATTATCCATTGATTCTCACACAGCAGGAGTTTGAAAACTTCCAGAAGTAAAAATATATATATATATTTTTTCATAATTCCTATCTCCATTTCATTCTCAGGTAGCTAGAGGTTTAGATGAAATTTTGTGATGTTGAAATGGGTGTTTTGAGAGGAGATGTCCTGGCCAGGCAATGTGGCCTGGCCCGGCCTGCTCGCTGCGGCCTACTTGCTGTGGCCTTCCCATGGCGCAGCCTAGCCAGCACACAGCAGGCAGCAGGAACTGTATTTTTTTTTTTTTTTTGACTGGATATCAGGAAAAGATTCTTCACTGAGACGGTGGTGGGGAACTGGCACAGGCTCCCCAAGGAAGTGGTCACAGCACAGAGCCTGATGGAGTTCAAGAAGTGTGTGTAAAACTCTCTCCATTGCAGACTGGCAGTGTTCTTTGCACTGGCTAGCACATGTAGAAAACCTTGTAATGCTGTAATTCACAAGCCACAAAACGTTGCAGTGGAGGCTGCCAGAATCAATTGACCCTGAAGTGAAATACGACAGCTACACAGTGCAGGAAGTTAGCATGAAGTGACACACAGGAAGTGAAACTCCTATGAGTATCATGGGAACATATGCAGTGGGTGGATTCATATGAACATGTGAACTGAAGAAGATGGTGGCATTTCTGGAAACTTGTACTTTGTGCACAAAGTACTAGACTTCAACAGTACCAAAATAGTCAACAGTAATAAAAATATTTAGTTAAGTGGTAGCAATCATACGTTTAGATTAAAAATCACGTGCAGTCATACAACGCTGCAGTGAAGCACAGTGGCTGCCAAGGCCGGTCAGAAGGCCCTGGTGCTGCCCATGCCCAGGAGCACACTGCGGCACTCACCCCCACGGCCTGCTCGGTGGACAGATTTTGGGAGGAGAGGCCTCTGCAGGGGCTCTCAGGTGTCACACCAGCAAGGTTATTTAAGCTGTGTGACCTGCTGTTTGCCAACACGGGGAAAATGATAAACAAGTAACAATGTGGTGCTCTATCCACAGATATTTTCTTGACCTCTGAATTCCACACAGGAATGGATGAAAGGGGTATCTCAGTATATTTGGAGGTTTGGGTTTGAAAAAAGTTGTGAAGTCCCTGCTGCTGGTTGTTTTTTTGTTGGCATTCTCAAAAAAATGTAAACAACAAATACACAAAATTACTCTCTGGACTAGTTCCCTAGTTTTTGACTGAAACAGTTGTAGTGGGAACAAAACTTTTAGTCAGAGATTCATGATTTCATCAAAACATAAGTCTGATTAAGTTTTTTGGAGCTGTTGCTGTCAAAACACGAAAACAGTTTTTGTTTCACTGCAGATCATTCATAAGTCTGCTCATCATTTCAGGTTGTCAGAACCAAAAGCTTCCCTTACGCATCAGTTCCTTGTTGAGAAGTTGCATCCTAGCCACTTTAGTTAGGTGCAGATGGATAATCTAATAACCCCACTGTCCCAGCAATTCTAGAGGCAGATTTAGAAAAAAAAAAAAAAAAAAAAAAAAAAGTGCATTCTTACGGCATCCAGGACAGAACCCAGATTACCTCTTAAAAGGTAAGAAAAATTGGTGGTTTATGTCCAAGGGTCATGGCCCCAGCCACGTAATAGGCTGGAGGTTCCTGCACGTCACTACTTACATCTACATCACTCCAAAATATGGGATACTTTTTCACAAATTCATCACTCTGAAAATTTTCAACTTCAGTTATTCCAGTTTAATCAAGTTACAAGTAGCTGGAAACAGCTACTTATCTTATAGAAGGTCTTCTAGAAGGGCAGTGCGGCTTGCTCCATATCCATATCCAGCAGGAGCCCGTCTTGCTCCATGCTGGGCCCTTGTTTCTCTGGGTTCCTCTTTCTAGGTTACACAGACAGCACTTGGTTCCCTGGGAAACAGTTGTTCAGTTGTTGAAATGGATCTTCTGAGAGAAGATGTCCTGGCTGGGCGCTGCAGCCTGGCCCAGCCTGCACCCTGTGCCCTCCATGGCCCTTATTCCAGGCAGTGGGTAACCCTGAGCCTGTGGGCAGTCTGCCCAACCGAAGCGTTGCCTCCTGGCTCCGTCTGGTGGTCTCTTGCTGCCCTGTCCCCAGCCTGGGTGCTCTGCCCTGCTCTCCCATGTTGTTTGGCGGTGCTTCACAGGATCTGAGCCATCCTGCTGGCTGGTCCCCAGCCCTGCTCTGGTTGGGGCTCTGCTCTCCACCTGGGAGGTCTGAGAGAAAAACCCTTCCGTTACCAAGGCTGCTCACCGCTTGTGGGGCTTTACCTTCTCACTGCACGCTCACCATGACTTTGCACCCACAGGTTGCTCAAAATCACTCTATTCTGCCTTAAGGTGAAGCCTGGCTTTTGATTTTTTTTCCCCTACCCCCTCCACCCCCACTCTTTTATGCTTCTGAAGCTAGCATGACAAGAATTGTTTTTCCTCAAAGGGTTCATATTTCACTGCAGGTAATTTAATCCAATTAATGCTGATGAAGAAACCCTTAATGCCAAGGCATATTCAGCAGATGCACACTAATACACTTTGAACTGGTAATTCTTTTTAGATGAAGTCACTGCCTCAAAGCATATTTGTAGATTGCTTATAAATTATGAGTGCAAATGGTACAACTTCCTGGCATCTTTGCAGTCACATAATAACATCTATGCTGTTTAATCAACAGCTTGATTTTTGCTTCTATCCATCTGACCAAAGCACCAGATTAGAAGGCTAAGCAGTGTCACGAGATATGAAATAACCAAGTGTTTCTGAATTAAATATCTAAAAAAAAAAATAAAAATAAGGTAGTTCCCTATCTCAAGTAATTAAGTCTGTTCCCTATCCTATTTAACACTCCTTCCTTCACCCTGCTTCACTGCCCAAGGAACAGTGTTGACATTTACCAAACTTCAGATTGAAGTCTGCTTGGCAGTTTGAATTCCCTGAAGTTTGAAGGGTTATTTAGTTTTATGATTTGGAACTGATCCTTTTCCTATCAAAAATAGATTTCCAGATTTTCAAAAAGCAGTGATAGATGAAGCTGAGCTGCAGACAAAGCAGACATTTTCAGAGTTTCAGAACTTAAATTGCCTTGAAATTATCGAGCAAACAAACATGGCCAAGGAGGATCATAGCCAAGTAAAAATGTCTATTTTATGCCAGTCCTAAATGAAATATGTTCTCGTTCCCCCAGAAAGCATAAGAATATCAAAACATAAATCATGTATCCAAGCCACTAAATTGGAAAAATAAATGTTCTTTTATGTAACATTGTGTTTTGAATTTATCAATAAGTCAAAAATGTTTTTACATCTCTAAAACTCCTTTGTCATCTTTTTTGTTTTCAACTGAAACAGATTTTTGAATTATATATATAGTATATACCATATATTATTAATATATCATTATTAATATATTAATATATGTTATGTTAATATACTATATATTATAATATTATATATTATATATAATAGATATAGATATAAACATTGCATATTACATATTATACAGATATTACGTAATATACATATATTATATATTATATAATATATTGTATATATTATATATTTATGTATATAATATATCTAATCTAATCTATTCTAATATATATAATATATATATAAAATGTATAATATATAATTTATATATATATATGTAAAAGAATAACAGAAAAACACGTCTGTGTCTTATTCAGGGAAATTGTAAGCTGGATGCAGTGGGAGGCAGACATGAAGAGCCCAGGAGAGCTAGCTGGTCTTCAGGGGCAGCCTCCATCAAGCACAGACATGGTCTGTACTGATAAGGAAAACAAGCAGCAGTACCAGAAGACCACCTTGGCTAAGCAGGGACCCCAACAGTGAGCTCCAAGGCCAAACAGATGATATATACAGCAGAGTATATTGTAGATGCAAGTGAAGACTAGCTAAAAATGAGGAACATATGGAACATGGTGAAAAAATGCAGGCCTGTACTACAGGGATGGTGTTAGGAAAGCTAATGGTCAGCTTGAGTTGGAACTAGCAAAGGATATCATGGGCCAAACTCTAAAATACTTTACTATGAAATCAACTTGAAGGACTATGGAAGGTATGTGTACTTGCAGGCTGTGGTTAAGCAAGGTTTCATGGTAATGTAAAAAATGAATCACTTGATCCTTGATAACCAACATGTAAAGATCTGCCCTTACTCGGTGAGCAGTGAGACAGCCTGAACACAGACAGGTCATCTGGCATTACACAGAGCTTGGTCCCGATCCTCCAGATGTCAATGGGACTTTTCCTTCCTGTTTTCAAAGAAAGAGAAAACAGCTTTTGTGCTTGATCTTCCTCTTTTTTTTTTTTTTTTTTTTTTTTTTTTTTTTTTACTATAACATCGA